CAAAGACACCATTAAGTTTTTTAAACTTACATTTTTCAGCACRTTCATTTGCAATATGGTGCAAACGAAAACTTCTCTGTCCTATCCGACCATCCTCTCAAATGCTTTATGAAACTTTAAAGCACTTTTAMAGAACCATTGCAAGAGACTCTTGCATGACACGCATCAGGCAGCTCAACTGGAGAAATTCTTTGCCCTGACTCTTCTTGCACACCCTTATTCAATTTTTATAGACTGCTGAATGACCTTGTCATTTTTGCTGCCCTGGACTAAAGCTTAGCTACAGTCATTGCTGTAACACAATATMAATAGATCCCAGGGAGATTAAACAACTGAAGGCCAAGTCTCTGGGGGAATCCTGAGTGTAGCAGGTAACTGGYTAATTATTCGGTAGAAGCTCCCTTTCCAAAGGGAAGTGCCATGCAGGGCCACAAAATGTGCCTTTGTGTCATTTGGGCTGTGACGAATTCTTGGAAATATTTTCCAAGTCAAGGAACATCAGCAAATGTTCTTTGCTTTATTTCTCTTCCCTGTAACTGGGAAGAGGTAGAACATAGAAGAGATTCCAGGCAGAGAAGCTTTTCTGATTCAGACCAAACTTTTTGGAGTACATCACACACACGTGTCTCAGAGAATCTAATTATTTTTCCTCAAGTACTAGATTGGGGCAGGGAAAAATGCCATTGGGTAATGTAACACTGGGATAACAGGAGAAGCACCTCATGTTAAACAGTTTAGATGATCCCATCAGAACAGAAGCACTCCCAGAGAGAAAGTTTGCAGTGTCTCTAAGCCTCTCAGGAATCACCAACCAATTTATCCATTTGATGGTTTATTTTCTGCAGATCCTCTCCATTTCATGGCCACCCAATCACTTGGAAGCTTCTGCCAAGTGCCCCTGCAGCCCCAACCCCTGGGGAGCCAGCGGTGCCCAGCAGAGAACACTGCAGTCCTGGAGGGGCCAGGGAAAGGCTCCCCATGCTGCAGGCATTGTCACCAAAGCAAACAGACTTGTTCTTCCATCCCCTAAGGTATGTGTGTGAAGGAAGGCACTGTGATACCATCAGCCAGCAAAAAGAAAAGAGTAACTCCAGAGCGTGTGCACACTTCTGCCCATGTCTCCTGGCCTCAGGGTTTGGGGTGCATTCACTGAGACCCCGTGTCTGCCTTGTCACCAAAGTGTGACTCGGTGTACCTGCCAGCACTGAGGSTGGCACAGCCCCCACACAGCAGCCAGGGAAGCATGAATTAGCAGAGTGAATTCTTGCTTTCCTCCCTTCCTCCTAGGATAGAACGCTTGGAGGATAAAGGCACACGAACATGCTGCAAACCCCCATCACCAGTGGCATTCATTTAATTAATTACCAGCATGATAAGAACTGAACAACAAAATTCAGAGATGAACATTTCCAGGCAGCTTGAAAAACAGTTGTCATGTTAGAGCATCAGAACTGATCATGCTTTCTTGAGTTTGCTAACCAAGAAGTTGAATTTGATTTTATCCTCTGAGATAAGCTTCAGATAGGTTCTTCTGAGTCATTGCCTTTCTTGTTCAGGCTCCACTTTTCTACCAATGATACAGCTGCAAATGCAGTGAGCTCTGACTGGCAAACACCCCACTGAGCACTGCAGAGACACCAATATCATGGTGACACAGATGTGTATGCACATGCTTAAAATACTCTTTGGAAAAAATAATCTGAATACATCTAAAAGGGGAGATGAGCTTCTCTGGATTCTCTCTTTGTTTTAACTTCCAAGTTTTGCCAATCCCTCTCTATTGCACAGGAAGAAGGTTCCCCAACAAACTCTTCCACCAGAAAAATGCACTTCAACTTCTGAACACACATTCTGAACCATTACAGAAACAGAACCTCTACCAGCAGACTTATCAAGTCTCGCAATGAAAGACTTTCTGTGAGGGAAACATTTCTGACCAGAAGGAAGTAAAGGAAGCACTAAAAATAGAGGCAAAAATGCATTGTATGCACCCAAGGCATTTGCTCCTGTGGCAAATTCAAGTGATAATGGAATTTTACACTAGACTAGGAAATGGCCTGCTATTGAAAAATAAATGCAAAGACCTTTAACACAAACAAATGTCTATGTGAAACTGTGGATATTTATTTTGAAAATAAATGATTAGATCATTTAATTCTATTTACGTGTTGACTATCATGTTAAATAACCCAGTTTAAAAATAAACAGAWGTGACTGGGTAGATTTACTTCTGTAAGGGAGGTCACTTCTCAGAACACAAGGTAGGAACCAACCAGAGACTAAAACCATGCAGCATGATCCTCATACTGCTACATTTCATGTTCAGTCATTGTATCTATTTCACACTAGCATTGATGATTCTGCTTTATCAATCATAATTATCCTTCCATTGAGTCCTGCAGACATTTGCAATCATTTAGAGTATTATATCAAAGCTGTCAACAACAAAGCAATCAAGAGTGCTTGTAATAACAATGCTGATGTTCTCTTTGATTAGAGACTATCATGAACTCTTGTTTTAAATACACAGATCTTACACAACTGGCATTTGTACCAAATMTGCAGAGAGCTCCATSGACAGACATTGACCCTGCTCTAAASGTGACTAGAAGTCTATCTGCAGTTTATTAACCAYGCAAAAGAGCAGGGAATGCTTTCTCCTTCAAGTTTCACATTTGCAGTATGCTACTAATTCCTGTAGCTCATAATGAAGACATCTATTTTAAAGACTCTGTCAATAAATCAGTAGTTTAGTGTCCTCAGGAGAGGCAAATGGATGACAGAACATCAGTCCTCAAAGTCTCTCTCCAGTTCATGAAGAATCAGTTTACCTTAGTCACAAACCCAGTGCAGCGACTGCCTTGTTTCACCTCAAATTATACCAGGTAGGACCACTTCCTAATAACCAATATTTTTTATTTTTAAATGCATAAATAAATAAATGCACTGGTCCAAATTACTTAGATTATTCACAAGAAATTTAAAAAATGAACAAATCAATCCCTTTTTCATGTGTGGCTGTGACTCCAGCCTTTGTGGGTTTACATACTGCATACAATTCCACCTGCTATATTCTCAAGGTGTGCAGCTGCCAGAGGCAGAAGATTGGCTGTGCACTACTCTCTAAGAAATRATTTAGCATGCCCAAGTATCTCAGACAGGCAGTTTGGCAATGGGCAAACACAGCAGTCAGACATGCACTATCACTATGAGAAGTCTGTGTGAACTTTCCAAGCTGCAGCCTAAGTCATCATCTTAGCAGTGGAAAATCATGACCTAATCAATTTTCCTCTGCTGAGTCTTTTGTAGATGTAGTGATGAATGCCTTTTACTGTAAATGCTAAAAAAAAAAAAAAAAAAAACCCAAACAAAACAGAAAAAAAAAAGCAAGGAAACTTACATAGGAAAACTTCTCATATTTGATATGCACTTCAAATAACTCAGTACATCCCATAAAAAAAGAGATGACTTCTACTGGAATTATTAGAAAAAAGTACTCTTCCAYGAACCTAGCCTACAGCAACACAAATTATGTAGACGTGAGAAATATAAATTACAGCAATCAGATTATCTGGAACGTATCATGTTTTGGTCACCATACTTAGATACTGAGATTTATGATAAAGCAYAAACACTCCACACATCATGTGCCCATGACTGAAGAGTTAAATCAAGAACATGAATTCTTCCTTCTTGCAATTCAATTAACCGTGGCCATGCGAAAGCTGTAATTTCCCAAACTCACTTTTCTGTCACATGCTTACTAAAAAGAAAATCTAACGAGAACACAGAGATAATATACATTCTCATATAATTCTGTAAAACAGTATTTACATCTGAGGAGTACTAGTGTACTGAGAAAATCCATATCTTGTATATCACATTGTTATTAAGTCTGCATGTRTTTGAAATTACAGCTTTGTGTTGCAGAATAAAAAAGAAAAAAAATGGTTTATTTCTGTCCTAGGACACACAGACAGCACAACCTTTCTCCCCAGTGCTCTTTTGTCTCGCAGCTCTGTTAAACAGTCAGACACTGCCAGATGCTCTGGCTAGAAATGGCCACAGATGGTCAGTTGTCCAGTTAACAGAGCAGAATGCTCTTCTCAAATCTCCCCTAAAAAGCTATCTCAGCTGCATGCAAAAGATGAGACTCTCTGAGCATAGTTGAGAAGCCGTTTGACCTAGTTAAGACTCCAGGTCAACTTTGATAACTTARTCAAGACTAATTCACCACAATACCACCAAGCAAATCATCTCAACACATTTCAAACAGCAAGTGCTACGTCCTATATTATTTTTGCTGATTACATGGTAGATGGCATATTTTGATGAAAGAAATTCTCAGTTCTATATATAAATGTAAGTACCTTCTACCTAGGGCTGACCCCAACACATCTGTAGTAATACACACTGCAAGAGCTACAGGAGGAAACAGAGTCAGGTGACCAATGGAAAGACTCCAGTGGGACTCAGCAAGCTCTGTGTCCTAATATTTGTGYTCAGTCCTGCAAATATTTACCAGGATTCCCTAAAAATATTAGCAGGATTATAACATGCACAACTTGCTTCTATGTTGAACAAGCAGTGCTTCAGTRYAACTGTGAACRAARACTACAAGTAAGAGAGAAATAAGCYAAAAAATATCAGAGATACTATGGTGTTTTGTATTAATCTTTCACTCTTCCTAGATCAGACCTAAATACAAAAAAGTTAAAAACCCCTGTATATTAAAATGAACGTTAAAAAGATATGTCATTTACTAGTAAGTTTAGTAAGCTCTGTATCTTGTGATAAGTAGTTGGGTGTCCTTCCAACTTACACAAGGTTTACCAGATCAGGTTATCTAAGTGTTATGCAACACATATTTTGCGAGAGGATTATTCCCAAGCTTGCAAAGCTTTTTGCTGGGACCAAACCTGACACTGTTGCCTTACAGGCCTGATGATTTAAGCTGTCTCTGTCTTCCAAAASAGTTGAGAAATATTTTCTCCACTCACCCAAGCCACTGACAGTGTATTCCAGGTCKCTGGCATCCAGCAGAATTGGGCCRTTCTCCTGCTGCCCCTCCTCCTTGTAGTAGAGTTTGTATCCCTGGACCGCTGCGGTGTCCTCAGAGTCCTGGTGCCACTGCACCGCGATGGTTGTGCAGTTCATGGGCTCCAAACGCAGCTCAGGAGACTTGGGAGCTGGGGTTASAGAAATAGATTTATATCATATTCCTATGTTCCTGAAACGGCTATTTTTCATGCAAAATTCTGGATGTCCCTCAGTCCAAGCTTCACTCAAGACTTTGATTCTAACTCATCAGTGTATTCAAATAATTATTTCTTTTTTATGATGTCTGACTTTCTATAACCTAAATCCAACAACTTAATTTAGGATGTAACAGAATAGAAACAGTTTTCAATTCTGCATCTGAATAAATAAATAATTTAATTCATGAGTCGGTTTTCTTTAAGCAAAAATTAAAAAATTCCAAAGTTAGTTATAAAATTACTTCCTGTTTTAAATGGAGCCAGAGTAAATATTATGAACAATAATATCACACTTATTCAATTTTAATAATTCACTACATTAGTCAAAACTCAATTAAATACAAAGCAGGATGATGTGGACTATAGCTAAGAAATAAACTTAGATTTGAATTTTACAGTTTTCAAGCTCGTTGTGCAAAGTTGAATGCTCTTCTGCATGACATTGGTGAATAATAATGAAATCCAAAGCTCAAGTATAACAAATTAGACTTAAATATCAAATTAATTTGCATATTCAAAACATACGTGCATTTTTTTAATCATACACATACATTCATCAATTCAGATCCTTTATTAGCACATCACACTGCTAATGTGTGGTGTCCCAGTTTGCAGCAATGTTCAGTTTACATTGAACAAAATGGTACAGCAAACTCTAGCACATGTTTGTGAGCTGCTCAAATGTTTTAGCTTTTAGACTMATTTTCTTCTGTTCTATATAATTTGAATTWAAAAGAAAATTWAAAAAARAAAAMMCAACAACCCCAAAAGCATTGTTGTTCAGTGCAAAACATGTTTAGAATAACCTTTGACACTTGTGGCTTTGGGAGTTCGGTGCGAGGTCCACAGCGAYGCCTCTCCCCAGCCAATCCTCGTGGCAGCGGTGATCCGAACCAAGTAAACGCTGTCGGGTTCCAGACCCTCGAGCAAATACTCATCCAAAGAGCTGGGGAGCTCCAGCACTTGGATTTTGGTCTCAGTGCTGAGGCGGAAGGACAGACGGTACAGCACCACCTGGCCCCTCCTGTATTTCGCAGGAATTGGCAGCCAGGATATCAGAATATCTGTAGGACTCTTGCTCGTCAAACTGATCTCAGGAGCTCTCAAGGGAACTAAAAAGGCAAAGACAAATCTTTAGCTCAGGGAAAAGACAGAAAATTTTAGTCTGATACCTCAGCCTACAACGAGGTGTCAGTAATACAAGACTAAATAATCCAGCAAGTTTTGTAGATTCTTGTTTAACGATAACTTGACACTTGTCACACTTCTCACCTGCTGCATGCAGCACAACCTAAGCAAACTTTTTATGTCTAATGCTTTTGACATTTTCTTCCTTATTACTGCCAGCAGTAACCAAAGGCAATCAGCACCTGACTGGTCTGACACACAGCCTGTCCAGGTGAAATGCAGCAGCTCCAGCCGAGAGCTCAGACAACAGCCTGTCCTGCTGAACACTTGGTGCATKTGTAAAGAGGGATCTAACTCCTGACAAAGGGACAGGCAGACAACCAGAAATGGCAATGTTCCATGCTGTCAAAGCTTAACTCTGTCAGAATTTATTAATCAGTTCTAATGATCTACACTAAACAGTTTGTTGTTGCCATATTCAGACTAATTAAATCACCGCACAAAAATAAGTCAGCAGGGTCTTCCACAAAATTCTGATTCTACTGAAAAGAGCACATAGACACAAAAAAAATCCAAAGCAAAAGGTTACATTTTTTTGGTATAGCAAATTTTTATTTCAATTTTCCCACAAAATTTGCAAATGATGCCCTGGGTGTGTGGCTTGATCCACATTTCAGAYGCCCAAGAGAAAATCATAGAGACTAAATCCTATGCTACTGTCAAATTCCCATCATCAAGGGATTCTTAAAGATTTAGATTAGTTATTAACATGATTTAATGAAATGTCTTTCAACACAGAAAAAGACTCTGTGTAATATACACTGTTGCCCTGTCAGAATGTCTTTTTATTCTCATTCCTTTCATGAGCTGGCTGCCTTGTACAGTGGTATCCAGAATTCTCACTTCTGTCAGTAGAAATTTGAGACTCTCAAGAAGTGCTGCCAATGGATTTCACAATTCTACTCGGTGCAGATAAACACATTCACCAAAATAATTTRTCTTACCATCTTCAAGGGTGTGCTGAGTCACATGATCTGACATCTGACTGGCTCCCAGAGGCATGTAAGCCACAATATAGAAGGTGTAGTTGCTGGCTGGCTCCAAGTCATCAATAATGTAATGGGTTGTATCATTTCCAATGACCACTTGGTACTCTTCATTATTTAAACCTGGTGTTAGTCAAACAAAATTTCCTGAAAATCATCGGACATCACAGGAAGTATTTTGGCTTTGGGGTCTTACAAAGGTAATTTCCTGTTCTTCCCCAGCCTACCTCTATTTTTTTCAACCCTATTAAGCAAAAGCTCTTTTATGCACAGGAGTAACTGTGTCTTGCTGTAGTATAGGTTGTGGTGTTTTAGGATTTTCCTCAATAAGGGATGCTGAATGAAACTCTAAATCCTATTTAGCAATAGTCACAACAAACTGTGCCCAGTGTACAGTAACACAACAGACAAGCTCTAATAGCCTTATCATTCATACACAGCTTCTAAATCTATTTGTTTAGAGTTGGGTTTTTTTCAAAACCTATTTACAGAGTCTTTCTATAGCAGACTGCGAGGAATGTGAGGGCTCCACTCCATCAAAAACAAAACAAGCACCCTCCTGCCCCCCAAAAGAAACAAACAGAAAGAATTTATTCAGCAAAAGGATCTCATTTTAGCCTTGCAACTTCTATTACATTTGATTGACATGTTTTTTATTTTAATTTGGAGAAAGGCCAAAAAAGAACAGACCAGAATAAGCTTCAAAAATGTTTGGCTCTTTAGTAAGTTGTTAAAAAAGAAAAAAAAAAAAACCTGTCAGTAATTCACGGTAAAATATGCAAAACAATGCATGCAGCAGTCCTTGTCTTTGTTGGGCTTTATTCCTATAGAGGAAGGCTATAAAGTGGACCAAGTGTGCTGAAAGCTGCTGTGTTAACGAACAACTCACACCAAGTGCACGTCAACTTAATCAAAACCCTGTAAGAGCCAGCTCCTCCTCTTCACTACTGAATTTATAAACAAAACTAAAGGCAAATTCCACCATTAAGTTTTCCCACATTTATGAATTAACTTGATAGCATTTTAATTAGACAAGATTACGAGCATCTCACAACAGACTAGTTAATGGCTTGTTAATTAGGAATTGCAAGGCACGATTTCTGACCTGCTAAACAAGATCCTTGAGCTCAAATTAAAAAGACTTGTTCTCTCGTTGAATGGATTGCTAGGCCTCATGCAGAGGCCCTAATGAAACAGCCATAATAGAGAACAAGGCTTGCCTTCCACCACAATCAGTGTTCCCTTTGTGCCTTTTCTAAAGCACTAACAAGGAATTAACACACTACAACATGCACGCTCATCAGACCCTTATTCTTCTTGCTACTATGACCCCGATTTGAATGTAAAATATTCTGCTAGAAGAAACAAAAAACAAACACACAAAACCCACACCTGTTAGTTTCTTCAACTAGCTTGATTAAAACACTAACTTTTTTTTATATATAGAAGAGAACCTGAGCTTGTTTTTACAGTGAAACATTGGAATACTTGAAATGTGAAATGCAACAATATGTGATGGTATCTTTTGTATTCAAAGCACCTACCACATTTTGATGTCTACAAAAAAAACTTTTTAAAACTGCACATGATTCATGCMTTATCCAGTTTTGCTTTCTGTTTAAAGTTTATTGGATCAGAAACATCAGTAAAACTTAGGAGACTTGGCACTGTTTTCCACTGGCAATACTATGTCTTTACTCACACTTGCAAATGAGGTTCCTAACTAAAWCAGGAGAGCAATATGTCTATAACTTYTTTTGTTTATACATCTATGTTTGTRAGAAGCTTGAAGCAAAGACAAAATCTAGTTAAGTCAGATATCTGAGATAATTTTTAACCTTCATTAGGGTCAGAAATAAGGTATGAAGTTGGGGAAAGACAAGCTGAAAGGAATAATGAAAGCAATACATTCATACAAAATATTTACTTTATTACATAATTATCCAGAATTCTTAGAGTAAATTAGAGGTTGACAATGTCAACAGTCTATGTTAGCACTTCCATGACCTGGTATTTTGTGAATGTCATCAAAAGATTTTCCTTAATATTTAATTTGCATTTCTTTAAATGTAGTTGTTTCTAAATTCACATTAGAGAGATGGCTGATGTGTTAATTTTTCACAAAGGCATTTCCTAGACTCTCACTAATGCCTCTGATATGAGGGCAACATCCTCAGAAAGGTTTACAAGCTATCCTTCTATCACTTACAAAGCTATTATTTTTACACAAGTGCAGTTCACTAGCCTTTGAAGCTCAACATTTTTCTATAAAATGARCCAAAAGTGGGGTTTATGTTCTGTGTGAATTTCTGATACTATGCAATCATGTTACAAAATTAAAAATGCACGCAGATCACCTATGTTTTGAATCCCACCACTGTAAGTGCTCCTCTTTACACAGCCCTYTCTACTCTCCTTGTGTGGATTTTTTCACCAGTGTGAAAGGATGCACAACAACATTACATTAAATAAAATGAACAGCACAAGGCAGTCAGGAAAGGTGAAAAAAAAGGGTATTTAAGAAAGTAAGTTCAAATAAATCAGAGGTTTCTGTTTGGTTGCTTGTTTTTGTTTGAAGTTCATTTTTTTTTAAATCAAGACAAGCTGTAATCTCATTTCACAAAATATAACCATTGGATGAGCAAGCAAATAAGGCAGGGATTGCAAAATGATTTTTCAAAAAAACATTTTCCAGAAGACACCTCCTTTCACTACTGTGCAAGAGTATTTCCTGAACAAATACACACTTCCCCAACGACACTTGTCCAGTTCTCTTTGAAGTTATCTGGTCTATGCTCTCCACAATTATCCAGGTAACTTATCCAGTGTGACTTTATTCATATTAGCTTTAAGAGGGGATTGTGAGCACAATACCTCAGTGACTGAAAGAGAAGGGGGTGATTTCCCACACCTCTTGTTCTCATTATCTTTTAAAACTCTTTCCTTCCTTCCTTCCTTCCTTCCTTCCTTCCTTCCTTCCTTCCTTCCTTC